ATTTCCATTTTAAAGGGTTCAAAAGGTTTCTTTAATTTTTTTTTTTTGTCACATATAAACAAAAAAATATATCTATTTTGTTGCAAAAAAAAAAAAAAAAAAAAACATCAATAATGACTAAAAAAATTATGAGACATGAAGGTAATAGTCATACCCATCATCACCAGAACACTTGGAATAATACTCAAAAGCCTGGACAAGAAGTTGGAAAAAAATTGAAAATCCAAGAAAGAATTAAAACCACCTAGACAATAGCATTACTTAGATTAGCAAGAATACTGAGAAAACTTGCTATTACTTGACCTTCAGTGAATGTCGACAGAAACAACTAATGCAGAAAAAAATTATAGTGATAACAATAATAGGTTCAGCTTGTCTAGTAGTGAAGTTTACAAGGTTCCAGGGACTTTTAGGAGACTTGCTGTCTGGTGAACAGTTGGCAATGGTAATATTAGCAATTCCATTATAAAGAAATATTTGGTATTCATTGACCAAGCATTCAGTGCTAATTTCAGTTAAAATTTATGAAATCTTTCAATTAAAACTTTTTTTCAAGAAAATAGGTAGTAACTTTTATTGCTCTTTTCACTAGTGTGGAACATCAACATCTTGATTATGACATTTTCTCTTCAAGTTATATACGTTAACCATTTTAGTTGTTGCTGTTATAGGTAATCCTCAAATGATATGGATTTTGTTATTTGGTACAGATTTTTTTTTTTTTTTTTTTATTTATTTATGATTCTGTAGTGCCAGTCCATGAGGTTCAAAGAAGGATGATCTTCACTAATACAGACAAGCTACATTCACTTGAAGCCACCTCTAATCATCAATCTGAAAAAGTGGTTGTATACAGCTGACAATGTAGATATTTCTGAACGAGTTTGGCACTATGCATGACATCCATATAAAAATCTCAATTTGACAAGGCTATTTAAGAACTTTAGATTTTGGTGTAATGTTTTAGTTTTAAAGCAATTTGCAGTGTTGTGCAAAACTAATTCTAACACAGTCAATCCTAAGTTCAATTTTCTTATCTCCTAGTGTGAATAATATCTATTGGTCTGTGCATTCAAGAGACTTAATACAGAAACTGTGATCTGGGGAAGGCTTCAAACTTGCATCCTGCTTTGTAGAAGAAATCACTGATCTTTTTTCCCCAACAGAAGGGAAAGCTGACTTAAACTGTACCAGATAACACATTTTCTTTATTCTCAAATATGCAGACCTAAAGACATAATTCACATTGCTTTAAAAAAAAAAAAAAACAGGACATCTACTCCCACTAAAATAACAGTTGAAGTAATAAATAATGTTGGACTAAAAAATCAACTCAATTCCTTAGAAATTACATTATGTGAAGAATATGTTGGTAACTTCTGCCACAATCTAATATTCTATTTAAAGATTAGTGGTGATCAAATGGTAAAATGAAAGAAACTAGTAAGGAACATTTTTATTCCTAGAAAGAACTTATGAAAATATTTTTATCAATGGAGTCAGTCTATATATGTGTTGGAGGCACGTTGAAATAATGGATAGTGGCTCAGATTGAAGAATCGGAGAGCAGAATTTAAATTCCAGTTGAATCCATTACATTCACTTACATGCTAATACCCTTGGGAAAGATATTAATCCTCCTCTTCTCCCTCCAGCTATGGGTAAATAGCAGGACAGATTGGGTTCTATAGCCTTGGGTGGCAACTGGTCTAGGAGAAGGACAACTCTGAATTCAAAACCTGCAGAGGGTTGTTTGGGGACCTTGTGGCACACAGTGCACCAGGTCTCTGTATTCGGCCCTTCAAAAAGTGTGGATGGTTCTGCACAAAGCCTTCCCCACTATAATCAAATCATGTGTGCTGGTGTCTGGCTGTCGATTCCCAGAAACTGATCTGCTTGACCCTCATATGTTGAATTCTACAGGAGTCGTGTGTGTGTGTGTGTGTATTGGCGAGGAAGAAATACAATAAATGACAGTTAGAATTTTACATTAAAAATACTAAAGACTCAAGGATATTGTTTTTTTTTTTTCTGTTTTTTTTTTTTGTTTTTTTGTTTTTAAATCATTTCACCCCAAGCAAGGAAATAAAGCTATTAACATGCAAGGGATTACTTAGGTTTAACTTCAAATTTTTGACATTTAGTGTATTTATATACATAACCTAATCTATCCAACCGCATTCAGCTTTTTAGGGTTTTTTTTATTTTTTAAATTCTTTTTGCTTGTTTTTTTTTTTTTTGTTTGCTGTTTTATTTTTTAACAGTGATGTTCACCCCATACATGGTCCAAAAGCCACTCCAGATAGAGAGTTGGAGAGTAAGAAGCACAGTTTATGATGGGAAAATAATGGTTAACCCTATTGAACAGGTTAAGATTGTAGTGATCAGTGTAATATCCTCAGTTCCACAAAGCAGATTGATAGTAGGATATTTCAAAATTAGTCTACCATCAATACACTTTTGCCTTAATAAATTACTTTATCTTTTAATTAAAACTGCATTAAGTCAAAATTATGGCCAAACATATTACCAAGAATGATAACTGTACTGAGTACATTCTTTTCTAAAATATTAATTTTGTATTCATATGATCTAATATTTAAATTCCTAGGTTAGTGTAATGAACTAAACATCATATTATTCTTCACTTGTTAGAGAAAGAAATTATTTCCAGTCATTTAATACAGGTTCCCCACCCACACCAGAAAAAAAAAAAAAAAAAAAAATCACTCCGTACATTATACAGAATGCAACAGAAATACCTCCCACATAAGGTTAAAAAATTAGCTTGATGAAGATACCCTTGCCACAAATGTTTTACACTTATGTGGGAGCTATTTCTACAGCATCCTGTACTATAGAAGTAATAGATTGGAATAGATTAGTAACTTCAAGTGACTGGTACACATAAACTACTGTTAACCAAAATGGCTTTGATCTCAGAAAAGAAATGCATATTATAAAGTGAAAAATACAATACTAATTTTGTATATACTGTCTCTTCAGAATGTGGGTATCACAGCTCTCCACAACCTCCTATCTTTTAAGCAATGTTTGTCCTTTTGACTATGTCTACCAATCTATGTTACTTGCAATTACACTATATGCCATATACTTGTCTCAAAACAAAAAACTTCAGTACTAAGGGAATTATACAATACTGATAGTGACAAGTATTGATTGATTTGTTTTTTTACAGCTTATCAACCCATTACAGGTTATTTAAGCCAGAAAATAATTGTAGATTGTAAGAATTTAGGGATGGGGACATAATAATGGTTTAGTTATACAAGGCCAGCTGTATCAGAGCGACACATCTGATTGCAACAGAATGTGTCTGCTTGTAACAAGTGCAAGCATGTTCTTAATGAAGCAAAGTTACTGTTTGCTGATAAAATGGAACAACATACAGCATCTTGTTCTAGAGATTATTGCCATCTCTGCAAGAGTGTACTGAACAACAGCAAATCCTCACTCCCTCCTCTACACTGAAATCATTTGGAGTACCCTCACCGGATTTCCCTCCTAGAACTGAGGCTCTACTGAGTGTTATGCACATAAACCCATCACTGGTCTCGGACATCATTTCTAAATTAGACTACCATAAGGCAAGTGGAGGTAACAGGATCACAGCCATCATCCTAATTAAATGTGTTTCAGAGCTGGCTTCAGTTTTCTCTAAACTCTACAACTATTGCCTTTCTGCTTCCTAGCAAGTTGGAAGTCCTCCTCTGTAGTTCCTGTTTTTAAGAACTCTGGAGAACCTTCTGACCCCTCTATCACACTATTAGTCTCCTACTGCTTTTCAGCAAAGCATTCAAGGCTCTACACTGTTTCTGATCTTAATCAATGATCTTCCTGATGTCATCAGTTCCCAAGTAGATATTTATACAGATGACACTACCATTTATACCTGTCTCAATAGTAAATACATTAGAGCTGACAAAGTTAACCTGGACGCTGCTCTTAAATAGGACCTCCAATCAGTGGTTAACTGGAGCAGAAAATGGTTTGTAAATTTTAATGCCTCCAAAACTAAACTGCTCTCATTTAACCACCATAGAGAAATTTCCCTGTTTCCTGGCATAGCTGAGGCTTGACTCTTGGAGAGCATCTCACTCCACTTTCTTGGTCTCATGTTTTCAACTGACTTGAAGTGAAACAACCACATTAAATCAATAGCTGCATCTACTGCAAGGGAAGCCGGTTCATTGTGCTGTACCAGAAGGTTTTTCTCCTCAGAGTTCATTTTGCACATTGACAAATTAACAATTCAGCCATGCATTGAATACTGTTGCCATATTTGGTCTTGGTCTCCCTACTATTCATCTTTAGGTCCTTGACAAAATCAAAAGAAGGATCTGCAATATAATTGATCCTAACTTGGCATCTCAACTTCATTTACTTTCTCACAGATGTGATGTGGCTTCCCTCTGTCTTTTCTACAAATATTTTCATGGCAACTGCTCTGACGAGCTTTTTTCCCTGGTGCCCCGACTACATGAATTTAAGCATTCTACTAGATTGGCATCTAGGTTCCATTCTTTTACTGCTGAAATAGTTAAATGTAACCACCACTTCTACTCCAACAGTTTCTTTTCTTGCACTTCCTAACAGTGGAATTCTCTTCCATTTACTTGCTTCCCTGAAAACTACAATCTTCAAAAATTTAAATGCAACATCAATTGCCATCTTTTGTCGTCTTCAAACCTTTCATCTTTTATCCTTTTCTTAATCCCACCTATACCCAGTTTTTTCTCTCACCTTCACTCTGTGTAACCCCCTGTGTACTAGTAGCATTTCCGCATTGCTTGGGATGAAATGATTAAAAAAAAAATCTTACTGATTAACCTATAGCTGAGAGAAGAGATGGAGTCATAATTTTTCCATGGGTATTTGCATGTAAGGGAATATAATGAATCCAACGGGAATTGGAATACAGCTCTCTGATGAACAATTCTAAGCTCTTATCCATTAGACCACCTGCACATCCAAGCTTATAGCATCTCGTATTCCCAAGCAGTCAACCATCTAGGTACTGACCAGGCTCAATGTTGCTTAACTTTTGTTATTGTATGGGAACTGGTGTTTCAACATGATGGCTGCAAACCTTGCGATAAATAGATTCCTACCCGATCTAAAAGGTTTAACTATAGGCTTTATTTATTTTCATTAAATAGTAATGGTAATATTAGCTGTTTCCTTATAAGGAAACATTTAGCATTCATCAATGAGAGCAGCCAATACTGCTTTCAGTTGAAACTTATAAAATCCTTATTAAAGGAAAATAGGTTTTAGTAACCTTTATCAATCTTTTCAGCATTGATAGGGGCTTCCCTACTAACCTTTTATTTGAAGTAGTGTGGAATATCAACATCTTCATTATGACATAATTTTCTCTTCAAGCGACATGCAATATCCATTTGTTTCTGCTGTTGGTTGTCTCCATAATGATATGGTTTCTGTCATTTTCTACAGTTCTTTGTGATACTGTTTTGTCCACAAATTTCAAAGACAAGTGATCTTCGCCAAGACTCACAGAATTCACTCATTTAAAACCATTTTTAACCACTGATCTATGAAAGCAGTTGTATAAAACTGACATTTTAGATATTTCTGAACAGGTTTGGCACCATGCATGACATTTATATGAAAGTCTTGATCTGATGAGGCTATTTTGGTACACTGCTTGAGTTTTCAGGTTAATGTTTTAGTTTTGCAGCAATTTGCAGTATTGGGTGAAACTACCCCTAGTACAGCCTATGCACCAAAGAGTGTTTAACATTACCTTAAGTGTCCCATAATGATTAAACATTATTTCAACTTTAAAAACGTTTGATTAGCCACATGAAACAAGCATTTAACTTTTTAGATAATTTTAAAATCAGATTTCAGATTGGTATCTTAAATCATCATTCATATTAATACGCCATGAAAAATATTACCTAAATGTATTTTCCTATGATGAACGGATTCTATAATTTAATCAATTAACCGTTTTAATTAAATCAAATAGTATTACAATAAGAAGTGTTTTGGTGAGGTGAATAATTAATAAAAGCAAACAATTCATTTATAGACCACTCAAGCCAAAATTGTCAACACACACACAGACCAATCGATCAAGTGAAAGTACTTACTGCGAAAATCTTGTTGATTCATGAGTGAAGCTCAAAATAAAGTGATTTCAAAAAGAAAAAAAAGTTATTCACTTCTGCATTAGATCTGTTCTTGTTAATTCATGGAAAATGGTTCAGAGCAACTTTTAACTGATTTGAAAACTTTCTACAAGAATTTATAAAATTTAACATATCTAGTGTTTAAAGTATAGCATACAGAACAGTTAACTACTTAACAAAAAAGAAAAATAATTGATATTTTCTTTTTGCTATATTTTTATCATGTCACTTATGATTTTGAGAGTGCAGTGATTGCAGACTAAGATGTTTTAGATTAGTTTAAAGAAAATCAATTGCCATTAATAAATATTAATAAATTCATGAGGCTTCTTTTTTCTCTTCTTTAATTGACAATAAATATATATATATATATATATATATATATATATATATATATATATTCCTAATCTCACCTTTCCTGAAAGAATTAAAAAGATGCCAAACTTGGCGAAAACAAAATTTTATCATCTAAAAGTTTATTATTAAGAGGAAAGACCAAAATATTTTTTAATTAATTTTTATAATTTTTCCTTCTTTTTAGAACATTCTAAATTTTGCTTCCTTTCCCAAGCTAACATATACAACTACAAATATGTTGAAAAATCCAAAGAAAATGATTAAATCCATCATCAATGTTTTTGAAGATGTACATTACATACATGCATCTTATACAATAACAATATAAACAATAATCATTTTTAAAAAAATGAAAAATTTCTTGAATATTATGCATTTACTTTCTACTAGACTGAATTATGACACCGTGTCCGCCACATGCTTTGACTAACCTTTCAACCACCTGTTGAACATTCATGAACGTTCACAAATTTAAAAGGCCTTGATAAACCAATGAAATCTTAGCTTTTGTATATAAACACAGGCAGCAAAATAAATTCTATATTGCCTTGACAAAATTCCTGAGAACAAAATGCGTCAGCTAAGAATAGTTTTTCCTCTTGTCTCTTTTATATATATATATATATATATATATATATATATATGTGTGTGTGTGTTAAAAAGATTTTGTTTTCTTTTCTATCAATAATTTTTTTGTCATTTATCTAGATGCAGAGATGTATAAAAGGAATGGTATAGAGAGTTCAGATAATATTGCACAACTACTTATGCCATGTGTCTACCATTTTCCTTCTTATTAAAAGACAAAATCAAATAAAATCAAAATATCAATAGATTAGAAATCTGTTGGAAGTGACTTTTATTTTAAAATTCATGTTCCTGCAAGACAAACTATCTGGTGCTCCATTTTTTTTTTTTTCTTTAATATCTGGAAAATGTGCATTACCATAGCCATCCTTTGAAAGACAATGGAGTGCTTTCAAGTTGTCCTAGACTAATTGACGAGTTTTTACCAATAGATGGAGGGGTAAGAATAGATGAATTCATGCCTTTCCCAAGTGCATTAGTGCAAAGTGAAAATAACAGCTTTAGCCAGAATTCAAACTTATTTGCCAATTCCATTTTTTTTGCCAATAACCTTTAAGCCACCCACACATCCAATTGCTAATAAATAGCCTTAAATAATACAAAAAATACAAATATTTGGTGCTATACACAATGTTACAATTGTCAGTATCAAGTAAAAAGCAGAAGACATGAATATTACTGTAACAGAGATTGTGTTTATTATTCTACATCATAATTATTATCAATTTTTTTAATAAAAAAAAAAAGAACACTGTCTATAGAAAACTAGTCTTGTTAATTCAGTCTCTTAATGGCACTCCATGTTTATAACAAAAATAACTACCTTTTCATAAAAGAAAAGGACAAAGGTTTTACTCTAGTAATACTAATAGTTTCAAGTTTCAGTTATTGGTTTGTTTATTTTTTTTTTTTTTTTTATTATAATCATGAATTTTAGACTAACAGAATATGGTGACTTCCTGGAGATTGAGCAGGAGCAAGTCTCTCTGAATTCCAAAACTTTTTCGGTAATTTTTTTCAATTTCAATAATAGTGAATAGCTTCAATTTTTTTCTTGAATTTTCTCCGCTTCCATTCTTTTTTTTTTTCTCAAAGGTTTTTGGAACAGTTCCAAGTGTAATGCTAATTACCAAGTACAATTTTCATCTCCATATCCCATTACTCCCCCTCACCAACCTCAATTGCAAGGTCCAGGTATTTATTCATATCTTCACTTTTTCGGGTTCTGTCAGCTGTCAGATTAGCTACATCGATATTTTTTTTCTTTTCTAGAATGAAAAAAATCTGGTCTCCCTCTCCGAATAAAGTAATTTGTTCAGAATTTAAAATCTGCAAAAATTTGAGTTTTTAATATTTTCCAGGATATCTTCTGCCTTGAGCATATATCAATTGTCCACTTTGTGAAATCTGAGTCGTTTGCATAATGCCCAATGAATCATTCTAACTTCAATGCTGCTTTTGTCAAACTTCTGAACTCACTTAGGGTTTTTAGAACAATTCCTGACACGACAATTTTGATCACAACCCTGAATTTCATGACCCTCAGTGTTCTTCATTTGTCAAAGTCCTCATAATTTTTTTTTTCATCATTTTCATCTCATTTGATTTTTAGCTGGTAGTTTGTCAGATCAGAAATCACATACTATTTAATATCAGTATTGGTTGTATAAAGCTTGAACTGAATTAATTTTATATTAGTAGATAAAAAATATTGTCCATTTAGCTAGAAATAAAATGAACTCAAAGCATTTCATCAAGCTGGGAATAAGGAAAAATAACTAAGGATATTAATACTTTTCAACATCAAACAACATATATTACATAATGTTTTTTTTTGAAATTCTCACCTCATCTTCATTTTGTCCTCTACAAAATGTAAAAATATGTATTTTCTTGTGATGCTAGTTAATCTCTAGAGAATCCCCATAATCAATTCTTGGTCTGCAGAATCCATTTAAAAAAAAAAATGCATGCACCAAAAGGTAGGAAAAAATTGATAAACATACTGAAGAAGGTGATACATGGCAAAATATACAACCTAAGCAAATACTCAAATGAGGTTTGCATTAAAATACATCAGGTTTAAATTGTAGTATAATGTTCTAGAACCTCAGTGGCCCATACTCATCAGGCAAGGTCTCTTTGGGAGGAAACTAGAATTAAACACTGGTACCTGAAGTATACCTATGATGGAAGTGCCAAGAGAGCTTATACCTAGTCATAAATATACAAGTGACTTCCACTTCAAAATTTGACCTTTTACCATGTTCTATTTGATTGGTTATGCAGATAGATATCTACAAATGTCCAGAAATTAATGGCACACTGTTATAGTCAAAGTTTGATGGTGAAGACAAGAAATTAACCTTTCACTATTTCCTCTGATGTGCTGATGGTCGTCTTTTAACAATTTCTCATCCAAATTTATATAGCCACTCTTAATTACTGTTATTTTTCATTAAACTCTTACTTTTAAATACAAGCTAAAATGCCCAAAACAGGAATGAAACCACATCTTGTCATCAAGAATTTCAATATTTAAAACTTCAAAAAAAAAAAAAGAAAAAAAAAAAGAAAAAAAGTGGGCTTTTAAAATATAAGAAGCTGAAAAGTTTTCAGCTGGACTCAATTTCCCAAAATATGATCAAACTTGGCGGGGGGGGGGGGTCTGTTCATAGTCGGTGGAGAATTCAGTACTTCTCTGTAATATACATTGTCTAAAAAAAAATAAATAAATAAATAAAATAAAAAAATAAAAAAATAAATTTTTTTAAATTTAAAAAAAAAAAAAAAAAAATAATTTAAATTAGTCACCAAATGAATTTTTATAGCAATGGCATTAGTAACCAAAACCTTTGTTACATACTTTTGGCTACATCTGATAAGTTATTTTAGAAAAGTAATTCTTGAATTTGGTCAACTTTAACAAACTATCACATTTCTAGAATATTTATTCTCAATGACTACAAGA